AGCGAGGAGGGGGGGTGGGGGGAATGGAGGGGTCCGAACCCGCGAGCGTGGTAAGGGCGGCCGTTGTAGAAGAGGAAGACGGCGATCGCGCCCGGCAGCGCACCTGCTGCAGAGGCTGCCTCGACCGCCGCCTCCGCCGCCGCGTGCGTTGGGAAGCGCACGCGCCACCGGCCCTCCTCGTAGCGCGGGTTCTCAAACGCCCCGAGAGCTCTGCGCAGCTCTGCCTCGGCGCCGGCGCCGTCGAGCCCGCCACCCTTCTCGACGAGGATGACCACCTCGCCGTCCAGCTCCGCCGGGCGGGCTGGCACGGAGCGGTGGCGGATGACGATCGTGCCGAAGAGAGAGGCGTAGACGTCGCCCATGACCTGCGGAGGGGCGAGACGAGGGGAGGCGTTAGGAGAAGCACGGGCATGTGTGCGGGCGAGATAGTGGGGAGTAGAAGAGCGGCGGGCGCAGAGGGCGGCGGGGACAAGGCGGCGCGGACCTTGAGCGCTTGATAGAAGAAGTCGTCTTCTGCCGCCGTCCTTGGCTTTTGCGGGAGCGAAGAGAAGCTGCTGAGGGGAGGCGCACGGGGGGCGGGGGCGGCAGAGTGTGAGAGAAGCCTCAAGTGAGGGATGGGCGCAGAGGGAAGGCCTGTCCTCCCACGCAGCGCAGCCACTGGGTCTGGGGTGGGTCTGGGGCGGCGGCGCACTCCCAGAAGAGGGCCGTCACGTGCTCGCCGAGCGGGTGGCGCAGGAAGCGCCGCACGTTCGCCAGATACTCTCCAGTCACGTCGGGGTGGTCCGGCGAGGCCCAGCCGTAGGTCAGCCCGGCGACTTCGCGGCGTAGCGAGCGCAGCGCCGCAACAGCCTCCTTCGGCGTGAGGAAGATGCGGATGCGTCGCTCCTTCTCCATCCGCTCCAGCTCTTGCCGGCGGAGGAGCTCGGGCAGCACCACCTCGGAGCCGTCGGCGCGCAGGAACTCGGTGCGGAGCAGCTTGATGGCGCCCGAGCGAAGGGCAGCGACGAGCTGCTTGTCGAGGGCCGCCAGCAGCGGGCAACCCTTGTGGTCGGCGGCGGTAAGCGCAGCTGGCTTGCTCGTCCCGCAGCCCATAGACCGGATCGGCAAAGGTTTTTGCGTCGCAAGGCTCGCGCCGCGCGTGTGGCTCAAACTTAATACTGTCCCGTTTTGCTGTTCACAGCTAGGGACGGCCTCTGCGTCAAAGTCAAATCACCCCCACCACCCTACCACCTCCCACCACGGCAAACCTTCGGCTCCCGCTCAGAGGCTCGCCGCGCCCGTGCGGCGCGCCGAGGCGGCGCCGAGGCCGGCGCCTTGCACCCGGCCCGCGGCCGGCACCGCCTCGCCCCACAACTGACCGCCCTGCGGCCCCTGCGCAGGCGTACCACAGCGTCGCTCAAAAAGCGACGCCGGGTGTGGGCTGCTCCCTTGACCCGTCACCCGCCGCGGCCCGTGCGGCGCGCCGAGGCGGCGCCGAGGCCGGCGCCTTGCACCCGGCCCGCGGCCGGCACCGCCTCGCCCCACAACTG